TACAGTAGATTTCCATATTCTTATAACTGGAATGTATGCAGACATACTGGTTATGGTCTGTATTTCAACTAGAACAAGGAAAATCTATTTAAGCTAAACGTTGTTAACAGACTTGGTGATGAGATTTTGTGAATACAGTCCAAGTTTTTACATAAAATGAGATATTGTTAAACTGCAGCATTTTTCCTTGGTCAATGATCGCTTACAGCCGTTAGATTTGTTCCACTTAAAGTTAATCGCTGCATTAAGATTCTGCATATGCCACGTAAGTGGTCAATTGAAGAATAGTAGTTTCAAATGATCAGCCTTCTGAACTCATATAGTTCATTTAATAGCTATTTTAAATGAAGGATATCTCGCAAACATTCATCGCCAAACACTGGTGTTTTGAATGACGTATAATATGAACGAAATGTTTAGGTAAACCGTTCTTGGAGTTAATCAGAACAATTTGAAATTGTATTCTGTTAAAAAATATAAAAATGTGTAACACTAAAGTGACTATTAGCTCAGGAACGTTTTACTGTATCTTTCTGTATGATTACTTTGTCTTGATTGTTTTCCCTTCACCATGCCTCTATTACTAGAAAATCTGAAACATGTACTTTCACAATTTTTTTGAAAACGTTTGGGATTCAACTCCAAATCATACGATAAATTCCTAGATTATGAAACTTGTGTACTGTTTGAATGATTTGCATATAATTTAAAAAGCTTGTGCCGTTAAGCAAGGGTCGAGCCACTGGAAACTGATAGTTATTAGTCAGTAACACTGGAGCTATTTCTTTTTGAGAATCTCTTCGAAATTATTATGGACCAGGTTACATTTTTATGTGAGGGACAGTAATGCATTTAATTGTCTTAAGTACTTCTACGTAATATGTTTTTATAGTCGAAATTTTTTACATAATAAACTTGAGTAAACTGCATCTTTTGCTCAGGTATTTACATACCATTTTTTACTGAGGCGCAAGTTTAACAGATTGCGAAACTAAGACATAGAACAAAGAAATTACGCAGTAATTGTGCCATCAGTCTATCTGACTGCATCGATAAATTACCAAAAATCTTTTTTGATCCGATGAACTTCCGCAAACCACCCAACCACGAGCGGAACATCTCTCAAAAATACTACCAAAAATTTCAAGTTGTTATTCATCGAAGACTGACATCAGTTGGAGGAACAAAGGAAACCTGGGAGCACTGGACAGCTGTTTCGTCCTAGTATGGGACTCCTCAGCAGTGCGCACCCACGACCCCACCAGCAGGGATCGAACCCGCGACCTTCAGGTTCCGCGACCAGCGCGTTACCATTGAGCCACTGGGTTAGAATCCAATGCCCCATATTTCCAACTTCTGTTAGCTCACGATATAGCGCAAACCGCCACCCAAGTTACAGAAGATCCTGATCACGTCATCTACACACTCCCGAAGCAATGACAAATCATAATATTTCACCTGATCTTTGTGTTCAAAAACACCACCTGCATTCATCAATCTTATCACGGTCAGAGTGACAGTTTTCATAGGTCTTCAGAAATACAGTTATGTGCTTCTGTTGAAAACTGAAGTGGTCACATGTCTGTTTAAGATAACAATAGACAGTTATTTGTTTCCAAAGCTTACAAATATGATCACAAAGGTTTAGTGAGATACAATGAAGGAAGCAAGTGTTCCTTTCTTCTTTGTTTGTGCCCTATGATATGATATGCTATATGTATATTCATTTGCTTAAAACATAACCGAGTTTGCAAAAATAAAATTCAACTTTTGAGTAAAAATTTGTTGAACGGAATAATGGGTGACATAGAATGAAGTGGGCGGCATTTGAACAGCTATCAAGATCGACAGGGTAGAACTGAAATGATCAGTACTAGATAATCGGCTTCTGCATCAAGTGACTGTAATATCTTAGTCAATCTTTACGCCTGCACGTAACACTGCGCAAGCAATAATCGCTTCACTGCACACTGAAGTTATTGGCTTACACCATGAAATTTACTACTGAAAATTAGGCTTGAATATTCTCACTTATATATATATATATATATATATATGCAGAGAGAGAGAGAGAGAGAGAGAGGAAACTTTGATCACAGACCATGCAACTTTGGCTGGTGCTACGTGTCTTCATCTCACTCTTTTGCAAATGAAAGAGTTGGCTTATATGTTTCTGAAATCACATCACCTAATAGAATGAAGTCCTATTTTAAAGAGTTGGAATGAAACTTTTCAAAGATAAAGTAAATAAAGACACACAAAAATAAAAAATTATAACAGGATTTTGATTTCCGTAGTCATTTATCAACAGATAAGGAAAAACGTAAGCCAAAACTTTGAAATAAGCATCAATCAGTAAAAAGCCTGCATTTATTCTCCTCAACTTCAAAGGTGATGTAATTGTTGGAGTTATTAGTAGACATTGAAGACTTCACTGGCTGAACCTAATTTGGGAGTCATTTTAATCCCTTTTTATCAAACAATATGCTTTTCATGCCCATCAAAAGGTAACAGGTATCCTTCTTACGATACCTCCAAGTGTGTATAATAGGTAATGTGTAGCTGCTGAAGCAGATAAATTGCACAAACAGAAGGAAGAGTTTCTAAGACTGTCTGAAAAAATTCTAAAGACACTACAAATCAGGTCAACTTTTCCGAAGTTTTCTAAAGCTATAAACATTAAACAACTGAAACCTGAGTTTGTTCCTGAGAAAACCTATAGTCAACCTCTGTCTACCTTGCTAACCCTTCTTGACAGTTATTTGATTGCACCATCATTCATCAACCTGAGATGTTTATTCCTTGAAACTTATTTAGCTGTATCATCTCTTGTTTATATTGAGTGTTTGCAACTAACTGATCGAACTCACGGTAGTTTGCTCATTTAACGTATGAACTACTTATGTAATCTCGCAGTGCTCAGTCCCTCAATATTTTGATTACCACTAATGACGTTTTATTCCACAAACATCCATTAGATTATGTGAAAAATGTGAACATTTATTGACCTTCGTTTGAATTCATAGTTATAATTGACCTTCACTTCATGACTATTTCTAAAAATCTTAACCACTGATCAATATTATATTCTCTCACAGTTACTTGAAGCATGTTACATTTGCAGTAAATCTATATGCTTTGATATTCTAGATTTTAAAAGGTTGACAAAATATCACCAAATGAAATGGAAGTTTTTTATCCTGCTCCCAGTGTTGTTCTTGCTCTTTATAAATCGATAAAAGGAATTCACATATGAAATTAACGATTACCCACATCTTTTCAGAGTCTTTTTCTAAATAGTATCAAATACCTGAAATTGTGTTTTGAATGTCGATTAATTGTTGAGGATGAAATTTCCGACAGATTTAAATTCTCCTTTTCTGAGCTATACAATGGATTGTACTCGTGTAGAAGCTGAACAAACTCTGAATGCTTTTTGATGCCTAACCCTACAGAAGTAGGTTAACTGATCAATGCAGATTTCAGTGGTTAGTATTGATTGACTACGTTTCGCAAATGCTTCACTATTGGACAGCTAGTATAGGGAATCACAGAGTCTCGGGATGTCATGTTTTCATAATAGCTTTCATTTTTCAACGTTCAATAATGTCATTTACTGTGCAGCTGTTGAACTCCAAACTTGAAAACGTTCTCTCCCCCACTATGGCTTATATTTTAAGGGTAGTTTCGAGGGGGTGGGGTGCAGGAATAGTTACATCAACAAGTCTTTTTGCGTATCTATTGTTGATGAATATATAACTCAGAAATCCTAGTTGTTGCTGTGTAACAGATAGGCAGGCCTTTTTAATTTCAAATTAAGGAAGAAAGCATTAAAATTAAGACTGAACAACTGAAACGGACCTTGATTGAATGCCTGGGGAATGAACGGTAATTCATCATGACAGGACCCTAAGGTCTCATATATCGTCTAAGATGATGTTTAGGTGCGTACTACTGATAAGTCAAAAACAGCACTCTAAGACTATTTAGCTTTTTCCTTTCACTAAAAGTCTTCTAGCTGGTGTTCTTTCTTGTTTAAAACTATCTGATGACAAAATATGTTATCCATTAGATAAGAGTAGCATCCAGTGAATTGGAAAAATCAACTCACTTTTTGTTGATCAGCGGATATATGGAAACTAGAAGTTTTTAGCTCAGTCAAATGATATGAGTTTGAACTAATGATGCACACTTCAGTGACTTTTACTGAAACACTGATATACGAAAGATGGAAAATGAATAAAGATAATTTACTTGGTTGTGGTTAGCAAAGGAATCCAGGACACACGTTTTGTCTTACTTGAGACTCATCAGCTGGATGCACCATGATAAATACTCAAGTAATAGTGAGACATCCGCATATGAGTCCATATACCAACAGAGGTCGAACCATTCGATCCAGTATAACGACGGATAACTACAAGTATATCAACGAATAGTGAGTGAAGATACTTTATACAGACAGGTTTCTTTTTCAGCTATTCAAGTAGCTTGTTGTTTTAACAAAATGGAATTTATCTGAGACAGGATAAATGAGAAACATTCGAGCGAAAGTAATTTAAAACTTGTATTTACCACACTTTACAAAATACAATATCACCGAAAATTACCGATGACATACTATGTGGGTGTACAACAATAATGAAATAATTATAACTCAATAAAATGTATTCATTTTAAAGAAGAGTAGAAATGACCAATCACGTAACGAGACATAATTGAGTATAAACAGTAGGCTTTTTCTGATCATTACTCAATGTATACAATGCAAGTTTTGTTAAATAGCATGTAAAGTATTTTGTTTTTTAAAAGCTTTTCTGTTGGACAAAAATGTTATTGGTATGTGTGATTCAAAATAACTTGATCCTACTTTATACTCGCTTTCTAAATATTTGTGCATTACAGTTGAATACAGAGCAATGAAAATCAATGAAAAAATAGGTCAGACGTATACATATATTGAACTCATTTCGTTTATACCAGTTGGTACTCAAAAATCTACATATATATATATATATATATGTTTAATAACGTGTAGTAGTATTAAATAGCAAGTAATCTGCCAACCGGTACCAAACACCATTAATGAAAAATGTTATTCAGAAGAAAATTATCCTATAGAATTTGCATTTCAAAGAGATCGAAAGCAGTTTTGATACTGGTTGCCATGTTGTTTCAGATATTATCAATTACACTTTACCGTTACTATACAGTATATAAACCATTTGAAGAAGAATTCCTGAATACTGAGGCACTGTACAGCATGGATACATTAACAAAATGTACAGAATCGGAGAACATGTGGCTTCAGTGTATTGAACAACTGAATAATTTGAGTACAAACAACTATGCAAGAGTGCGTGGATTTGACTCATCAGTCCGCCTAATTCATACACCGCTTAACTGCACATTTCTTGATATACAGATTCCATTTAAGAGGAATAATAAACATTATTCAAACGTTACCTTGAATGAGCTTTACTTCCTATCAAATGATGCCCTAACTACAATGATCAATGGAAGAGGATTGACTACGAAGAATATTAATAGAGGTTGGCATCATCCAAAGTACTTCAGTATGAAAGAAGCTTTGAACGCCATACAGACAGGTTTACCTGATAAGGAGGTGAGTTCTACTGGACTGGATTTGTGCATTAGTTTATGGTTCATAAATATTGTGCATACTTGTCTATCATGAGTCAGACTAACGTTTTTAAGAGTAACTATCATGTGGTGTTTTCCATCATTACTAAGGGGTGATACAGATAAGCATTTTTTGTAATTATAAAACTGTTAAATACAGTTGAGGATGTTCACAGTATGTTCACCCCATTTTTGTACAGTATATTTGTTCGTAGGATGTACATAAATGGAATTGTGCTGAAATCTTAGTGAGTATAATAAAATCGATTTACATGCTCATATGCCTTAGATTGCATTCATTTTTACAGCTAACATTTCTCGTCATATCCTACCTACTATGAACAAATCATGCAGCAACAGAGTCTCTGATCTCAAACATTTATTGTTTCTCACACCATCAACTATTAGTCTGAATAGTTTAATCTTTATACATTAAGACTATTCATATACTTTTTATCAATATTAATTAGAGTCGCCTTTATCAAGGAAATGAATTGGAGAAGAAATATCTTCATATTAAGAAGAGTATTAAGTGTTTGGGTTCAGTTTTCATGACAAATCCTCAGTTGCCTTATTTTCACATTAAATTAGTTTCCTTGATGTTTGGTACAGTGATACGGTATTATTTACTGTTTGACATTCACAAGTTCGACTCACTGCCCACAAACATAAAAGTTTTCACTCAATGACCAGTTGTTGTTTCAAAGTTTTATAACTTCACATTCCTTGTCTTCAGGGGTATTACAGTTAGTACTTAATGAAAATAGTCGTTGCATCATTCAAACTGCACTCATTATGTAACGATCGCATGAACAAAGATTTGGTATTCAACTTTTTTTACAATTACCGTTATGTTCTGTTAAATTGTTGCTGTGTTCGGATCTGTTATTTAACTACGTGTCAATGAAAGCTTTGAGATGGATGAGTTTTTCTGTAGACAACCGATCGCATAAGTTTCATATTAAATTTAGTTAACTTTATCCGTCTCAATAATTTGAGGGGTCTCAATCAGTTAGTTTGACCAATGCATTCTACTATGAAGGTATTAAGTAGCATTATGTACACCAAATTAGTTTCCATATTTGGTCAAAACAAAAAATGAGTTAATCGGAATGGTGGGTTTGAATTCAATCTAGATTCCAACTGGGTGTTCCTAGTCAAGGTTTGATGTTCCCTCTTAATATAGAAACATTGCATAAGCCGTAAATCTCCTTCGGCACTTCACACTTACCATTCACATTACTACTGATCCTGCAGTTATTTCTTAAAAAAATATGTGATAAAGTCTGAAGGCTAATTAATGAACAGTAGTATTCCTTTAGACTCATTTGTTTTCTGAGTCACGTCTTAAAACTCATTTGTTCGCTTTTTGGTACATAAGTATTTCACTTGGCTTACTTTAACCGATGCTGGGTGAAATAAACTGGAATCTGGAAACTTAGAATGTGCAAATTCTCTGTAGACGGCTTTATTTCAATCATAATCGTTTATTCATATTGTTTTGCAACCTAAACGCTCCTAATTCTCATTGTATATTTGTAAAATCATGTTGAATTTACTGGTGAGTTTATGTGTGAAGAAACTATTGGTATATAGTAACTTCAACAAATCAAAAGTATCACACAAGTTTCTTCATTATATCCCAGAAGGACAAGTAAACAGTCCTAAAGCCAGGTATTTTCAAGAACTTAACAAATATATCAGCTGTGATCAATGATGTTTGAGATATTTTTCTTGAAGTCTAAAGATTGAAAAGACCGAATACAAATACACATCAAATATGCTACGTTTCAAACAGTGAATTACTTCTGTGAGTTAATCCTAAAAAAATCAAGCCAATTTCTGCTTACTTGCATCATTACACCAACTGACATACGAACATACGAGATTATTACAGCAAAACAAATCTCTTTCTCCATCTTTCTTGTGCAGATAATCGAGCCTAAGAAAAATATCATTCTAGGGTTTAAGAGATTTATAACGAATCACAAAATCGATGCTAATATGTAAGTATTGTCCTTATTGGAATATTCCTGAAGTCATTATTAGTACTATTGGATAATCTAGTTTGTGAAACTTATAGCACCTGAGAAAGTAGAGGACCAAAAATCAAACAAAAATTATTTCTGAAGACTGGTCAGTTCAATTTAAGTACACTACAGAAGTAAAGTAATCACATGTTGTTTTTGTCACATAGCATATAAACCAAATCAAAAACTGAACCGATCAGTTCTGTTCAGACCATCTACATGGACCAGTTCTTGCAGCAAAATCTATTCAAGCCATTCGATATTCTAATATATTTATTAGTCTAGAAGGTGTAACTGGATTTTTAGTAGCAGTTGTCTAAATTTGCATATGAACCACAATTTTTTAAATGATCGAGATGATTTCGAAGAAGTTTTCATCTTAAGATACTCTTACATCTTCATACACCAGTGCTTGCTTGACCAAAGGATTGTTACTTCTCAATTTAGAATTGAAATTATTAAAACATTTGATATAATGAAGAAACTGAATTTACAAATAAGTCTGAACATGCTTCAGATACTTTTACCAAGTTGAGATATTACGATTTGAAATTTGTAAAAGAAACGGCCAGAAATTACAAAATTTTGTCTAAGTATTGAAGTGTATCTTATACGAATTATACGAAGTAGGTTGAATAATTTGTGTTCTGATTTAGAATAGTATAAATATTCTCAGGAATTTATATAGTATTCAACTTTGATCCTCACATAGTCAGATCTCTTAATCAATCAGGCTTTGCAGTTTTGTCACAAGCATTCATAACCTTTGAGTGACGACTTGCACACATGATGTTTTAAACCAACTGAATAATAAATACTAGAATGACTTACTAGTCAAATATCACTATATCACTTAAAAGGAATTTCAGAAACAAGTTGAAGGGTTTAAATGTTTTACCACTTTGTAATGGTAAAGTGGCTTACTTGTTTCGTCCAGTCCTAAGTATTCACCGGATTCTAAAGAAAAGCTCGGCGGTTAAGATCTTTGAGAAGACATCAGTTCCCTTGAATTAGCAATCACTTCTTAGTGATAAATGTGAACAGGTGAGAAACTCAGACGTAGGTCATTTTACAGACTATCTTGAATCACCTAATATCACTCGAAATAACAGAGTGATACTGAATCCTTTTAGCTTGGTGCTTAGGTAATAATCACTTGCTTATTCATACTTCAGTGATAATTGGCCTAATTAATGTATTATTCCTTTGCAACAGAATGGTTTGTAGCATTATGATCATACTGGACGCTGCGATTACTCATTCGTATCCTTCAACTAGCATTCATTACTGCTCTTGAAAACCTTTTCCACTTCTCATTTTTCAGATGCCAGTTAATGGTGGACCTATTATTGTCATTCAGTTACCTAAGAAAACATGCAATCCTACTGAAACAACCAAAATACTAGATCTTATAGTAATTGTGAAATCATGTATTTATTGCTTCGATAAGAGATCATATGCAAGAGAAACATATATGCGATTAAACTTGTGGAAAGATTTCAAAGTGGGGTTTGTTTTCGTAGTTGGACTGCCAACACCAAATGAGACAGATATTTTCCACTTTGACGGAGTTCACGTCAATCTTCATCGGAATGCCAAAGAATTATCACAAAAGTACAAAACATCACGGTGGATTGCTGCCAAAAAACTGGAAAATGAAAGTAAAGTATATAAAGATATGCTGATAGGATCTTTTCACGATACATACTTCAACTTAACATTGAAACTAATACTAACATATAGATGGGCCGTTACATTTTGTAATGGACAAGCTCCGTTGTACATCTTTCTTGATGATGACTACGCAATTCTGCCAAACAATACTATTAGTCTGATCAGAGGTGTGAATGCTTCAAGCATAACTTCAGTTGTTGGTGGGCCCGTGCACCATCAAGCTTAGTAGCAAGGCCAACAAATGATGAATTTCATTTAAAATGGGCTGTTTCAGAGAAAGAATACCCTTGGGAACACTACCCGCCTTATTTTTATGGACAGGTTACATGTTAGGTTGCAGTATAGTCAATGACGCTTCCCTGGCCATGGCTTTTACACAAAATATTCGTATAGACGACTCTTATCTAGGAATTATACTGAGCAGGTTGAACAAAACACTGACTAATATGAAAGAGTTTCAGATCAATGCAGATGAGGAAGAAATAAAATCTGGAGCTGTCAACGTTCACGTTAATGTTGCTGAAGACGTAATTGACTGGAATACTGGTGGTATTAGGAAAACTTGAAACAGTCCTACTCCATTAACTCAATAAATTAAATTATAGATCTTTATTTTTATACCCAAAATAAAGTTGTGGATCAAATGGAAATAATGATTCACCTGTTGCATATCAGAGTATTCCACAGCGCTATTTTTCCAACCCATTAGTATTTTATTTTGTACACAGCGAGATGTATAAAGTTTCAGTAAAATTATGATTTATACACTACTTCTTTTTAATTGAGTCTTGACTGTGAAGCTTTTGAGACTTGATTCAGTAACACATAGTTAACCTAATTGAATTCGAGGCATTAAGATTGAATAGATCCATAATGTTCGTTGTTGTAACTAACAATGTATGTGTCTTGTTTATTGCAAGTGAATACATCCAGTTCAGTAATGCCTAGTATCGATAGACTGATGTAGGAATTAGAATAAATCTGTTTTAACAGAAGTATCTATAATGTAATTGGAAGTAACTATGCAAATTTCTGTAGAGTTATGATATCTTTATAGTCAGCGCCGTTCGGCTATCATTAAATGACCTTCAGAATGTTATCATCAGTTATCACAAAAATATCTAATTTATTTAAACAAATTCAAGAATGATTTGATTAAATATTTTTGACTTATTTTGTAAAAGTAATAGAACACTGTGGAGTGGGCAGCATATAAGCTCCAACAACTTTTACCCTAAACTTTTTAAGAGGGGTTAGATTCAATCACTTTACCTAAATACACGGAAACCATACGCAGAAGATATACTACAAGGGTAATGGGAATGCTTGAAGAGTGTCTAGAACAGCATGCTTGTAGAAGAAAGGAAGAGGAATACAATACTATTGAAGTGAGATCTACCTCCCTAAGACTAACTAAATATTTAGAGGGGGTATTTCTTACAAAGTTAAGACAAGAACTTGAATCGCGTTGACCCATACACACCCAGCCACTTAGTTGATACTGATGACCTGAACAATTCAACATATTAGGCAGTTCTTAAAATAAAAATGTGAACAACATGAAGTCCAACTATATCTGTGAAACAACGTGTGAAGACAAGTAAATTAGGAAAGCAGAGGAAGGAGTTTCACCTGGGATTTTCAAACGTTTGTGGAAACATCCACGTGTCACTGGCCTAAAGTCATTATCAAATTCCCTAGTTTACCATATCATTGATATGCGTCATTAAATGGATGACAATATCTTGTTGTACCGTTGTCAGGCAACGACTTCCTAAGTTTGTGGAAGCCAATGGAGTAAGGATAATCTGAGTCAGTTTGTGTATTCAAAAATAGATGTTTGTTAACTTGACATTCTTCGTCAGAAGCATCGGGAACAGACGCAGGGGCAACAGCGGACATGCTCACACTACACCACTATTACAGAAGGTCTGGATGGAAGGGAAGGTACCTGCAGACTGGAAGAAGGGCTACCTTGTAGAAATCCTTAAGAAGGCTGACCTAAGTCTTTGCAAGAACAAGAACTGGTGTAAATCATGCTCTTGTTCACACCAAGCAAAATATTAAACCATATCATCTTTGAGAGAACAAAAGGTGCTCTGGATTCAAAACTATGACCGGAATAGGTTGCCTGTTTTCTGGAAGTACAAATCATGTACGGACCAAATTACAACACTACACATCATCATAGAACAGAGTATAGAATGGCAGTCAACTCTCTAACTCAACATCATCGACTTTGAAAAAGCTTTCGACAGCGTCGACCGAGAAGTCATTTAGCAACTGCGTCAGCACTACAAAAATACCACAAAACTTTATCAACCTCATTCAAAAACTATATAAAAAAGCCACATGCCAAGTAGTTCACAATGTGAAGCTCAGTGATGCCTTTGAAGTGAAGTGAAGACAAGAGTAAGACAAGGCTGCCTACTATCAGCGATGATCTTCCTGATTGTGGTGGACTGGGTCATGCAGCAAACTGTAAGGAGCAAGAAGAGGAGGATACTCTGGACCGGAGAAAGGATCCTAGAAGATCTGAATTTCGCCGCCAATGATGATTTGTGTCTAATGTCTTGTGGTACAAACTCGAAGAGTGGAGATCTTCTGCACTCAGCATAAAGCGTGAACAACATCCCCATTTTCAGCACCAATGTCAGGTCAGTGCTTCTATGTGGTTCAGAGACTTGGAGCGTTACGAAAGGCATTTCCAACAAAATAATGATATTCATCAACAACTTCCTACGCTCGTTACTGAAGATCAGATGGCCAGAAAGAATAAGCAACACGGAATGCTGGCAATAAATCAACCAAGAACCCATCGCTCAACAAATATGCGGAAGGAAGAGAAGATGGATCGGGTTAGGCATATACTGAGAAGACCATTCGTAAACATCACGCTTCAGGCCCTCGAGTGGAATCCCGATGGCAAGTGATGAGTTGGGCGTCCGAGGGTGACATGGAGGAGATAGTGTGGGAAGAAATGAGAACTTCCGGGCAGTCGTTGAGCCAAGTTCGAAAGTTTGCAGAAAATGGAGTGGGATGGAGACGTGCTTCTAGAGCTCTGTGTCCCACTAGGAACCCAAGGGACAAATAAATAATAAAAATATAAATTTCCATTCCATTTGCGATGTTTGTAAATATACACATACATCTTCCACTGAGTTTTGTTCATTGTTTCAATCCTAACTGTAAGGGAAGTAAGTATATTAATTGGAAAGGTTATTGATTGAAAGGCCATTTATATTTTGCCGATCTTGTATGAAAAATCATCTTTAAAACATGCCCAACGGATGAATATCGGTATCATTTCAAATTTGGAAACATCTGATTGACACATCTTTCTCATGTACACTAAATATCATCCTGTGTCAAGTATAAAATCTGAATGAATTATAAATGAAAATCAACTCATTCTTTGAATAATCAGGATTATGAATGGGTTTGTTCATCGTTATCTGAATAACAGAGTAATAGATTAAGTGATATAAGCAATATTATTAGCATCACTAGGGAAAAGACATTAAACTTCTTAATGAAGCACAGACTCACCGACAAAACCGATTCATGCATTCATTACCTCGAAGCTCTGACGTAGCTCACAGAAAAGATTTCATATTCTGGTGAATCACAACAGTATATTCCACACATTGTGCATAAAATTGACTGAAGATACCTCTTGATGTCACTCAATTTGCCCATAATTTTATCGTGACTGCGCTGAAATATAATGGCTACTGCTAGACCATTAATCTGTAACTAGAGGTTGTGAGAAAATTTAAGCTCGTTTAATCTCTGCTGTGAGTATAGTGAGAAGCTAATATTACTCACAAAGCATTTTGACTGCTTCATCATTTTAGGTTATGAGAAATGTATATTTTCTATGGGGCGAAATCGAGAACTTACAGTGACTGGTCACTGGTGAGTCCAAAATCCCACCTTGTCTGGTCCTAAGCACAACCGAACTCTGTCGACCATTATGTGATGTAATCATCAGACTGGAAGATTCAACATTGCGATGCTATCTGATTAATGTTAAGTGTTAGGTAAATCTAATCCAGTCAACCTCGACCCAAATTCCTCAATGGTAAGATCAGCGACTGTAGCAATGAATGATGTCTGTTCAAATCTCTGACGAGACACATGTTTTGTTGAAGTAGCAATACGTCTTGTTGATTAGTATCAAATGGCACGAATTCTATCGACAGCCTACAATCAGTTACCACTAATTAGAGGGAGGCTTACAAGGTGTCCAGTATTTTACAGATAAAAATGTTGTCTGCCAACTTGTGCGCATCTGATTTCTCATGGATTTTCTCTAACTTTCTCAACTGATTTCTGGTTAGTGTGTATGGTGGTTATTTCACAGTTGATAACATTTATCTCAATGGCAATGACTTTAGGTGTCTTCAATGATCTATATATAAGTGGCCGCAGTGAGCCTATCGATTAAAAAAACACTGACAATTGAAATTTCAATCGAGATTTTTATTACAGGTGTTCCAGACCACTTTCTTCAGGCATCTTCGCAACTAGTGTTCGTTGCTTTGCAAATATTTCTGAAGACTATCCAGAAGTCCCATGTAATCAGTAAAAATAGTTCGGATCTGCCTTACCTTCATTATCTCATCTGATAACTGTATAAAACGTTAGCAGCGCTTCCGTCTTCTTGAGATAGAAGTTTAGTTACCAAGTCTCTAAAATAAAGAATTTACCGGAAGATGAACAAATGACAAACTGAAATCTAGTTGTGAATAACTATTAGCCGTAACAGTTCACGAATTTACTTCCAACGGTAATGTTTGCTCACTGACTGATCTTCATTCGAACACTTCTGAAACAAAGTGTTTCTAGGAAAACTTCCAAACGTCGTCACATTCAAATAATGACCTTCTAAAATCATCTAAACACACAATTATGAGTTCCATTTTTCACGTAGAAAAGTATTTAAGCACTGCTAAAAAGAAATCAGCATTTCATATGAAGTAATAATTAAAAAAACGATGTTAAGTGCACTGAATTATATCGATATTTATTTTTTGAGAAATATGTACATCAATTAAAATAAGTGTATTTGACGAATTATTGATTACCATAATCTTTAAAATTATGTGGAAGGTCTCAGAAAAACCAAAAAGAATAGTGAAACACGTGCTAAGTAAAGAATGCATTAAAATATTTTAATGATAGACAGAAATTCTGTTGAAATACAGAAAGAAGAGTGTAGTGGTGGCGGTCAAACTATTGTCAAGTCTGGAAATACTTTTCCGTGCTTCTGAATGAATATCTTCATCGAACCGATGCAAGGAACCCATCGAAATGCTATGAAATATACAGATATGTCTTCATCCACTGAAACCCAAACAGATGATGGTCATGTATGTTAGTGCCCATTTCCAATGTCACCGAATTTTAAATATGGTGCGCAGTATACACACTTGTATGCTTGTGTAGGAAGGAAGGAGGAAAATATGTGCATCGGAGTGAGATCATCTTTACTCATTTCAAGAGTTTATTATGATACAATTTTTGCTCATCTGAAAATTGTGACAAGATTTTTTCAAAGGTTTGGCTAAGCGGGCTGATGCCGCTTCAACAGAACTCGAGTTATATAAGCAAGAGTAATGTACAGCGAAATGTTGCAATCAGTGGAGCTGTTAACCAGATGTGGTACTTGTAATTTCCCGTTGTTATTCTGCATCCAATTGATCAATATCTGTTGGCATATGGAATGTTATGTGGATGCTTAGATATTGGCTGACAATTCA